AAAAAAAAAAAAAAAAAAAACTAAATCTGCGTCACAAGTTTAACATTCCCGCATCCACACCCGGCGATAGGAGACATTGAAAAGGGTCCATCGTCACAACGGGTACGTATCAGCCTTACTATATGAGGCTAGTGAGAATCGATGATAGCCTATTAGAATATGACCATCTCGTTGGGTCTATTCCTCTTCCAGACTAGCGCACAAATTTTAATACGTACAGTAGTCCACCCCGGTAGTACGTACGTACCTTCCGAAGTACTTCTGTCCCCAACGTCAATTGATTCAGCTACTAATAACAATTGGGAGTACAGGTACACCCAATATACATTGTGCGGCGTGTACCTTAATATATCACATGTAGGAGTTTAGCTATGCTTGAAGTTGAACCTCAAAGTATGACAAGCTTTTTTGGTGATGAAGAAACGATTTGCCCTTAGGTGATATTGTAGCTGAATCATAAACCTATATACCATGCTTATATCCGTGGGCAAAAGCATGCAACCTCAAGCAGGACTATGATCACCTGGAGATTCCGGCTTGATTTCGTTGATCTCAAATCCACCCTCATCTTTATCCTCGCCTTTCTGTGGCCAGAGAATTTGGCGTAACGCGATAGCACGGATCATCATATAGCAAACGAATATGTACATTAGTATGAGAGGGATGACCATAACACATCCAATAATCAGAATTGGCTTGCAGGAAAACGCGTGGCCGATGGCGAATGTCGCTGTGATCAGCGCTGTGTTTGGAAAAACAAATGAGAACCATCCCATACTAAAGATCATCCGACCAGGCCCTATAGCTGACCAATGAGCAAAACTCGCTATGAAGAAGAAAAATATAGCCAAGCTATGTATGGATCAGTCAACAGTTACATGACAACAACCAGGTTGGTGACAAAGTCTTACCCCCATAGCCACAAGGCAGCAAAGTTGACAACTACTCTTATAACCTCTGCGGCCAATGGCCCATTGCTCATGAAATCATCAGGAAAACACCTTTTAGCATTGGCAGCCATATTCACGATCCCAGCAACTGTGAAAGCGCTAGGGCCGATAGAAACAAACATGCCGGGTCGGACGTTCTCCCTTGGGAGCTTTTGCGACATCAGTCTATATATGAAGGCAGAATACACCATCAGGGACACTAGAAAACCAACCCCCTGAATAGTTATGCCACCAATTATAATCGGCAATGAGCGGGAAGGCTCTAGCTTTGAGCTCAAGATACCAGCATGGGGACCGATTATCAGCAAAGGGTATGCGGGAAATATCCAGATCGGAGTCATTTGGGCGATGGTGAAAGTCTGTGTTGACCACCTAGCTTGTCATCAGAATCTAGGGCATAACACCATTTAGCCAAAATACTTGGACCTACAGCAGGAGGTATATGCCGGCCGAGAATATGATGGCCAGGCAGGCATCAATCCAGAATAATATCCCGACAACATGTGCAAGCCAAGGCCCTGTATTGTCTGGCCCGTATTGTGAAATATTTATCAGAATTGTTCCGAACGAAACTACCGAGGCTGGGACAAAAAGGGACTCTGTTGGATGCAAAAATGATGCTTTGAACGTATAGGGATAATGATAAAACCGCATAACCAACAAGCTCCATATGATGACATATAATATGACATTGGACAGGAAGAAAATGACACCGATTATCTCTAGACCTCGGAATCTATAGGGTACTAGTTTTGGTAAGCAAGACTACAACCCCAAACCAAAGATATGCCCGAACTTACTGGCATGCAGAACATTGGCAATCCCGCCAGTTGCCATTGTCAATGTGAAATATGCCCAGGTAAAGTGACGTATCCGTTGTTTCCAATTGAGACTTACAGCCGGATAATCGGACTCGTTGTGAGGATGCACGCCATTTACATCCGCGACAGCATCTCCTTCAGGCTTGCGGCACGAGTTGCTATGCAATGCTTCCAGCGCCGAGGAATGAGCCTGACGTGCCCAGGCCCCAGCGGACGGAATTAGCGAGTTATCGTTCCTTTGCACTGCAATAAAATTCTCGGCATCCTCAATTGTGGGGGTACGATAGCCATCGTCGCCGGGCTTCGGCATGCGTCGAGGATGTAGAAGTTCGATATTCATATTCATCCCCTAGCCCCACTATGTCTAAGAGACTATTTGTAGCAAGGAAGTCCGGCGCTCTTTCCTCCTTTCCCTCCGCATTACCTGTACTCAACTTAAGTAGCGAGCTTCTTCGCACCTCCCACTAAGGTGAGGCTGCCGCAGTGGACCTCTGCCGTGAGACGAGGGGGAACGCGCTTGGGGGCACAGAATAAGAGATCTCAAGCGAAGAGACGGGGAATCTCGTGCAGGTAGGATGAAACATACGCAATGAATAAATAAAGAATAAACAATCCAGCTCAACAACTGCAAGCTTTGTACGGTTAGTTGGACGACAATAACTGCTTGTTCATGCCTTTCGTGTTGTTAGAAAGATAAATTGATAGTATAGTGAGTGAGACTCTGATGACTTTGGTTTTATGTAGTCTCACGTTAAGTATAATAATAGATTGAATATAGTTCGTAGTTAGGAGTATCTAACGGTAAATAATAGGTTAGCTGACTTCGGGTAATAGCGAGTATACCTACAGCCCGTGTCAAGAGCATGAGGTGAGCATACTAGGGTTCTAGCCATATAGGCATGCTGATCGTTGGGCTCAGCGGCTCTACTCCGTAAATGAAAAAGGAAAGCACAGATGGATTGAAATGCTGCCTCCCCTAATCCAAAGAGAGAAACACTTCTGTGTCCGCTCCGCTGAAGTTTGAGAATCGCAGATCCGTTTGGCTTTCTCGGGTATCGGCACCAATTTCTTGATGGGGAATTGTTTATGGCCAATCATCATGCAGGTTCAAGATGGGAGTTACAGTGCAGCCTGACACTTGGAAAATACATCTGGGTACTCCATACTGTCCATACACTGTACTGGTGTGCTCTCTTCTAGCTTGAAAATACGCTGTACACAATTTCAATTTGTAATTTTAATAAATGTTTGTCTAAAACCGTGAGAAATGCTGGATAGCCAAATATACACATACTACTTTGTACATAAAAAAAGCTAAACAGGAGATGGATGGGACGTGTAAAGTAGGCCTATAAGTGTACGGAGTATTACCAGAAGCTATGCAGGAGATATTCTAGCTTGCTCCGAAAATTCCTTGCCTTCCATGTTCAGGTGTCTTTCAAAACGACGGTCTCTGATACTGCGGACAATCAGCGCGTAACATCGCGATAGAGTCCCATTTCCTCAGACGAACGGCCCCATGGCTTGGATGCGAGGAGTCCCAGTGCGAGACACGTCACGCATCCTTGATAAGAGTGACGCATCCAGAGTCAGCGGTGATGAGTGGGTGGAGCTTGTATGGTGTTCTAATCGGGTAAAGCGCCTCAGCGCCGCTTGGCATCTTCGTGTGTCGAGAACTTGGTGATCAGAGGCCAGGCAAAGTATAGAAGCATAGTTCAATTGGCTCCAAAAAAAGTTGCATGTATTTTCCCTCAATATCATCTAGTGCAAGGTCATCGTTGTCCCATTCCAAAGTCAGAACGTGGACGCAGTCTTATCGATCCTTGAAAGGCAGGGGGAGCTTCTGACATACTGATTGATGGAATTGACGGCTTCCTTGAAAGACTTTCCGTGCGTCACAGTATGGGTCATACGGATATTACAGCTATGAGTCATGGTACTAGATTTAGAAAGGACTGGAAGGAATTAGATCGGGGGGAAAGAGGAAGGCGACTAGGAGAAGGCTTGACTGTGCTAAATAGAGGAGTGGAGGTAGAGAAGGATGAAAATGAGGAAACAGTGAATATATATTCTAGAAGGAAGAACTAGCTCATGAACGTGTAATGCACACTCTAAATAATGCTACTACAACGATTCCAGAGGCTACCCAATATACTGTTAGTCCTCGGTGTACTAGGGAATGAGGGATAGGAGAGAAAGAGAGGAAAGGAGAAATTGGAGAAGGAAGACTATTTATACAGGGGATGTATATAGGTAGGGATAGAGAACGAACTAGTTAATATCAAAGTAAGATTGAAGAGACTGATCTACTCCGAACAAGCAAAGAAATGATATAAGGTAGTGAAGGTGGAGGGGTGTATTCAAAGTACGAAAGGGCGGAATAACAAAGCTGCACAGCCAACAGGCAGGACGATGAAGTCGGCTATGGAAAATACTAAAGTATCAGTGGCCCTCATCACCAGGAATCAAGTTTAGTAATATATAGTGATAAGTTGCTGTCTATACTTGTAACGTCAACGAGGGAAAGCTTCTTGTTTCTCCAGCTAAGACTATAGACCTGTAGAAAAAGATCTGTGAAAATCACGAAGACTGGTGTGAATTTGTCATGAGTAGTTGATGAACGGAACTTGATAGGAAGCTGGATTGGATATGTACCATCTAAAGACCAGAACTAATAACCAGTCGCTATGAGAGGATATATACACCACAGGGGTATTAATCTCTAACACAGATTTAGAAGTGTCTGAGAAAGTTGGTCTATTTTATCTTAGTAGGATGCACCCAAACCGCAATGCAGAAAATTTTTGACATGTACGTTGTAATTATATGGGAAAACTATTATTTTGGTTGGAGATTGTGTTGATTAGGTCGGGGTGCCGGAAAGAAAGAAACATTGATCTCTCTCTATGGCTATATGTAATTACCATAGATGGAACGGATCGTCTGCCTGCAGGGACTGTCTGTTTCACAGGATGCTGATGTAAGCGCAACTGTCGTGACCAGGTTCCAGAGCGGCGTAGAAATGCCGCAGAACGGTGGAGTGTGTGTATGGGGGCAAAAATCGCCATGAGCTGAGATGTTCTCGGTTGAATCGCAATTAGAGCCTATATTCTTACTGCGACCAACTATCTCTTTAGACTCTGGTGGCCCCCAATATAAGTATCTTCTAGTATGGGCTACTATTAGTCTATTACTCTTTCCGTCATGAGCCACCAACGCTAGTTTAGATGACGGTTGGATAGAGTACCAAGGTAGGTAAATTAGGTGTAATGCTCAAGACAGTGCTTAGTTAACATCCCATTACCTGGTAGTACCTGGTTGTGCTTTATCATATACAGCAATATGAAGGCTCAAGACCGAGAACGACATAATCCTTCTTATATAGTTGAGATGAGCTTTTTCTAGGCTTCCAAGGGAGAAAACAATAATTTATATACTGCTTATCTGGATTGTTCTTAAACTAATATCTTATATTCTGGATTGTAGGGGACTGTGTGAGAATAAGAGCTAGACCTTTTTTTGTTCCCCCGACTTATGTCGATAAGTTTCCCTGATTGGCTGGCCCAAGAATTGTATGGCAGATATAGGGGTGTGTAAATATATATCTTTATTCTTTAAGACCAGTGAAATGATAGGGATGGAAGTCAGCAGCCCTTGGGGAATAGAGCTACAGGGAGGAGTGGCTGTGTTGCACCTCTCTGTGGATTTAGCTTTGGCTTCAGACTATCTAAAAGGCTAGAAACATAGATTTCCATGTGCAATGGTCGTACTAATCGGGCCCCATACTATAGGGAGTACTAGTGCATGCCTGGGGGCGAGCTTAGTCATAATATTTATTGGGTGTCTAGTATGGTAAGAACCGCTTGGCATCACCATATCTCGTCTATAAAAACCGCTCCTATCATCCCTCAGGGGCAGCCAGCAGTTATGCTGTTCTTTATCAAATTATACTCCAATTCGGAAATATCCTGAGGACTGATTTTCTCCCCTTTTTACTTACCCAACCCTACTATTCAAAAGGATAAGCAACTCCAGATATTGTTTCTATTAATTAAGGTTATAATTTATAGTGAGCCCTGAGTCCCCTGACGCTATAATAGACTGCGAATCGGAGACGGAGTCTGTACCGCTCAGTAAAGCTGCTTTTAGATCTCCGCTTCTTTGAGTTCCTGGATATAAGCCCTGTCTCAATAATACCCGGTTCTTTTCCTCGCTCCAAGCTGTCTCTACAGGGTGTAGGGCTATTACTAATATGTCTCAGTTGCGGCGCGCGGATTAAATGTTCCCTAGACTGAGAAACAGACTATCCTTTCTCCTATCTATTATCTAATATTTTAGTCTTCTTCAAATCTACTAATTCTATTTATTATAGTATCGAGCTCGCTCTGTTAGATACTAGCAATAATCCTGAGACAGAAGTACTTTTATTATAGCCAGGAATAGTTATATTATTACTGTCGCCTTCGATTTCCCAGCTATCTATTTTCTGGGTATTCTTCGACTGTTCAGACACGTTCGACACTTCATAGAGGATATAATGCACAGATTCTGCTGGCGCATCGCTTTGAACTTCTTTGTTGCTTATTATACAGTTGCTCCCCTGGTGGGATAGAAAATGCGCTTGCGCGTGAATTTCACCAACAAGGCCTTCGTGTGTTTGCGACAGCGCGAGATACGGGAGCACTGCAGAGTCTAACAGACTTCGGGATTGAAACACTGAGTCTCGTTGTAGATGACGAAGGGAGTGTCCAGTCATGCTATGCAGAGGTTCTAGAAAGGCTTGGAGAGAAAGGACTGGATTATCTAGTTAACAACGTGTCAGTTCACATTAGCTATAGCTAGAACAGAGGGCTGATCCGGATCTCTAGGGGCCGGAGTACGTCTGTTTAAGATCACTGTCCCGATGCACACTGCTTGTGCGCCGTCTAAAAAGAAATAAATGGCTCACATATCATAGATTATACTGTTCCTGCCATGGAAGTAGACCCTGCTGAGGCTCGTGCAACCTTTGAAACGAATTTATTTGCGGCCATCAACATGTGCCAAACATTCCTCCCGCTACTTAAGAAGGCCCAGGGTACTATCGTACAGATTGGCTCTGTCGCAGGGGTAAGCTTATGCAACATATACCTTCGGCAGAGAATGAAGCTAAACCTGCCTAGGTCATCCCATATGTGTTTGGATCAGTGTACACTGCCTCAAAGGCCGCGCTGCATTCGTTCAGTGATACTCTTAGAGGGGAATTAGCTCCCTTCGGGTGCGCAACCTGCTCATTTCCCAGACATTTTAGCTGGCAATAACCTAAGTAGTGTAAACGTGACGACCATTGTCACTGGAGGTGTGTAATCTCGTATTGCCCGTGTTAAACGTACCCTAGCGCCGAATTCACTTTATGCTCCCATTGAAGATGAGTATAATCGTCGCGTGATGCACAGCCAGGATGGTGCAATTCCACACACTGCATATGCAAGTAGTGTTGTCACACAGATCCTGTATGGAACAGCACCGTGGCGCTGGTTGTGGCCATGGGCTCAAGGCCGTAAGAGCTGGATATGGGAGGGCAACAAGAGCTGGTTGGTTTGATTCCTTTCTGGAGGCTGGGCATGGACTGGTATTTTCCACTACGCCATGACAAGAATGTTCAAGCTTTATAAGCTGAGGAAGGTTGGTGAAAAATAAGGAGACCGAAGATGTTCCACTTACTTTCTACCATGGCTTGCTTTTCACGATATTTAATAGCATATCCACATCAAAGACTATGTTTTATTAGACAGTAGTGCACAGCAATATCATGCGGAGCTACCCTGTGCCCATCTTGATAGTACTCATTTATTGATTTCATGTCGCCAAATAACGTGGCTAACTAATACTTTTGTTTTTAGTTGTTGCTTACAGCCGTTTAAACAATTTGCCGGTTAATAAAAATACTACTAATATGCTATAGAGGATATGACTATGATGATGAAAAAGAACAACATGCTTGTCAATTGTGCAAGGATACGCAGTGGCAATTGTTATGTGTCACTCATCCTTAAATAAAATTTGACAGTACCTCCCCCATCTGCCCCCTGGTCTACGCTGTATGCCACAGTACCCGAGTTCAAAGCATCGTTCCGTGATATTCGCGTCCCGAACCGATTAGTCATCCCGACACGCACGCTGGTTGGCTTATCAGGTGACCCTGATCCTACCGTACTCAAGGCAAAAGACAGTATCATCCCGAGGAGTGCGGCCGTAAAAAAGAAAGCTGTTTCCCCATCAGCCCCTAACACCACCTGGCAAAACGCCGCTATTCAGGACTCTACTAGTCATTTCCCCCGTTCTTACCCTTCAACGAGCTTCTCTTGAACCCTCTCCCCTCTTTATTCACTTTCACCATGTTCAAGTTCGTGCGCAGCAGGCCAATTGCGGCAGCTTTCAGAGCTGCGACGGTGAGATTCCTTAGTTTCGCCTAAACTTTCGAGTCTTACAACAGCACATTAATTGACATTGGAATTTCCCATAGGAGTCTTCCGTTCAATCTCGCATTTGCCAGCAACAGAGAAACCTGTCGATCCACGAACATCTGTCCGCGAAGCTCCTCAAGTCGGTACGAACTACCGAATGTCTTGATTTCCCCCCCTTCGTCTCTCAGAACTAACCGATCGGATACACAGTATGGTGTAGGAATGCCCAAGGGCGAGGTCGCTTACTCTGCCGAGGAAGCCGAAGCTGTTGCCAAGTCACTCGGTATGGTTTAATCCCTCGTCCTTATACATCGCAGTTTGCTAAGACACAGGGTGTCAGGCAATGATGACATGGTCATCAAGGCTCAAGTTCTTGCCGGTGGCCGTGGCAAGGGTAGCTTTGATAATGGTCTCAAGGGCGGCGTGCGCGTTATCTACTCGTGAGTTTGGCCCGGTTTTAGGTGTGTCGGTTTGGTTCCTTGTATCTGACACAGAATATCTCCCTAGACCTACGGAAGCCAAGATGTTCGCTGGCCAAATGATCGGACACAAACTCATTACGAAGCAGACCGGTGCTGCCGGCCGTCTTTGTAACGCTGTGTATATCTGCGAGCGCAAGTTCGCTCGCCGTGAGTTCTACCTAGCCGTTCTCATGGACCGCCAGTCACAGAGCCCCGTCATTGTCGCCTCCTCACAAGGCGGTATGGATATTGAGACCGTTGCCAAGGAGACCCCCGAAGCCATCATCACCACCCCCGTTGACATTAATGTCGGTGTTACTGATGAGATTGCTGGCAAGATTGCTACTGAGCTCGGTTTCTCCGAGCAGTGCATTCCGGAGGCCAAGGACACAATTCAGAAGCTTTACAAGGTCTTCATGGAGAAGGATGCTACTCAGATCGAGATCAACCCTCTGTCAGAGACCTCTGACCACCAGGTTATGGCCATGGATGCCAAGTTGGGCTTTGACGACAACGCAGACTTCAGACAAAAGGAAGTGTTCTCGTGGAGAGACACCACCCAAGAAGACGCCGATGAGGTTAAGGCTGCTGAGTATGCTATTTGCTATAACCTACGCGCGAGCTTTGATGTATGCTAATAAGTGCGGTAGGCACGGATTGAACTTCATCAAACTCGATGGTGATATCGGCTGCTTGGGTAAGAACTGCAATGTGTTGCTCGTCTCTTCTATGCTAATCACAGATCTAGTTAACGGCGCTGGTCTCGCCATGGCTACTATGGATATCATCAAGCTTAACGGTGGTAGCCCTGCCAACTTCCTTGATGTTGGTGGTGGTGCTACCCCTGCTGCCATCAAGTCTGCTTTCGAACTTATTACCAGCGATCCCAAGGTGTCAGCCATCTTTGTCAACATCTTTGGCGGTATTGTTCGCTGTGATGCTATTGCTCAAGGCTTGATCAATGTTGTGAACGAGATGGGACTGCGCACTCCTATTGTTGCGCGTTTGCAGGGTACCAACATGGAGCAGGCTCACAAACTGGTATGCATGCAATCCCGAGCCCATTTCTTTACCCCTTTCCATCCTCTTTTTTCCCTTCTTGCTGCGGTAGCTTCCATATATGCTAATACTTCTCACAGCTGAACGAGTCTGGTCTGAAGATCTTTTCCATCGAGGACCTTCAGAATGCCGCTGAGAAATCTGTTCAATTCTCGAAAGTTGTAAAGATGGCCCGTGAAATCGACGTGGGTGTCGAGTTTACTCTTGGTATCTAAGCTCTGCGTCGTGTTAAAACCTTACAAATTTCTCCACATGTGGGTGTTCCGCTCTGAATTTGCATTTTATTACTTTATATGGGAAGATGGGACATCATCAGTGAAGGTGCTTACTCAATTATACGAAGAGAGCAAGCAGTCCTTCAAAGATGATTCGGCGGTCATGCGCATTAAGTCTCTATGCTAACTGAATTTTCTACACGGCAGATGGGGCTGCTGAACCTGAGTAATAAGGAGGCCTACTTGTGAAGGACTGATATCAGGTAATCATGAGAAAGTCATGGGAGGAATTTTATAGAGCATTCATTGATAGTCCTGTATATCGTCTGTTTCCAGATTTATTTTCATTTGTTAATGTATTCATTACTCATTTAGCTGGAGACGTTTTTGGGAAGCTCTGGATCTTTCACATATACTACTAACCGTGTAGGCAAGGCTGTACGTTTGCAATACTGGATAATTTGTCTTATTATGAGGCACAAATACAAAGCGGGTGTCTGGAAAACAAAAAGCCCGGCGGCGATCTAGCAGGCTTGTTGGTTTTGTAGTGTTTTTAGGTTCTTTATAATGGAATTGCGCTTGATAGATTCATGTTTTCGTTAAAACACCAAACCTTCAGTCCATTCTGATCAACCATTAAAATGAAGTCACGATCTCCTCTAAGCATGAAATGAGTACCATGAGAATAGACCCTGTTTGACGCCTCCCTAGGTAACTGGGGGTTGATCCATCTGGCAGGGCGGTGGGCGATTCTGGCATCTGGATTGGAAATCCAGATCTCCGGTTTACCATTGTCGTTCTTGACATAGTAGAGGATGTTACTATCAACAGATGTCATGCATAAAGGGATGAATGGCGTGTTCTCTGCAGACACCACATTTACGCTAACCCTGCCAGTTCCTTGATTGTAAGTAATAGCGGCAATATCACCGGGCGTTTCTGCTAGACGACCACCTCGTTCGGATGTTAAGATCCCCATTGCATTTCCAAATGCTAAGGACAAAGCATCATCTATCTCCACATGCCCAGCTGGGTCTGCAAATGAGGATAGTGCCACGGTGCAAGATGGGGACGGAACGGCAACAGTATCCTTGAATGGATATTTATTGACACGTAATTGTGCATATATGGCGGGACAACAATGGGTGTGCATGAGAGTATCAGGGTCCACGGATTTCTCGAGGTGAACTGTGATCAAAGTACTTGAAGTAGGGTCCACGTCTAAATATGCTATTTTGTTCGCAATATTAAACGTACGAGTAACGCGGCAGTCAAGCTGCCAGTGTATAATACAGTCTGGCCCGCTGGCTATGGCGCCGTTGTATGCTATGGCGACGTTCATACCGCGAACAACAAAGTACTTCCATTGTAGCGATGGCAGCCGGAAATACGCCGAATCGTTAGTTTGGAGGCTCCAGACATGACAGAACCTTGAGTCTCGGAGAGCATGGACCTGCAGCATCAGCCAACATATGTTAAAGGTGAGGCACAATTCGGATGCATCTATACTTACCCATGCAGTGTTATCGCTGCTACAATGGATTCAGAAATGCGTAGTGCAGTGAATGGATCCCGGTTGTCTGTGCAGAAGCTCTGCATCGTATTCGAGTGGAGGTTATGGACATAGACTATCGCGTCTTCAATCCATGCATAGCTTCCATGCGAAAATTCAAGACTAACTAAGCCTGTCGCATCTAGTATTGGAGAATATGGACGGTTAAGGACCTTAGAGATCGGTTGCCCGCGCTCCAAACGAATATGCTGCTTGGCATATTGTGTAAATGCATCTGGAGAATCTAGCGCGATGGACCTGCAGTTGTGGCCAACATACCGATGGCACACAGCATCGCGAAATAACCTAGAGGATAGCAGAAAATTCCATCGCTTGGAGACCTACAATATAATGTTAGTCTGGGGAGATCGGTCACTAAATATAAGGTTATGGTAAACATACTCTTCGGAAAATGTGGATTTCTGACAAATCTAGATGCCTGGAAATTTTTACAGCAACCTCGGTAGGTAAACTGCCTAGAATGTCTTTTTGGAAGGAAACTTGGTTCATGCGATCACGCACATCACGCCATTCATAAGGATGCATCTGCTCCAGGAGAAGATGGTACCTATGGTATCAAGAATTAGCTATGTTTACTAGAATACGGTTGGGAAGCGATTCTCATTATTTCGCCTTTCTTTTGTTCTACATACAAAGCTCGGCGAGCAGAGGTAGACTTTAAATGCTTGAACCGGGTGAGGATATCCTGTACTTCAGGATCCATAGTAGTCGTTGGCCACTGCTTTTTTTCGGAGTTATAGAAAGAGAGAGAGAGAGGTATAAGTCACACATTTAAGAGGCTCTAAAGTGTCATGAAGGAACGCATAACAAGCAGAAGAAATAATAAGCCAATGTTCATTAGACTGTCTATGGCATTCCAGGTTGAGAGGTGCGTTGGTTGTTCAGGGTTGCGGCTCCGTGCATTTAATTGTTCCAGGCCTTCCCGTGATCCATGCATGCTTCTCCTTCAATCAGCGCCTTTAGGTCCCTTTTCTTTTCCTCTTCTTCTTCCCTACCTCTTTAGGACTCACCTTCGACCATATCCTAGGTACCTCTATAATCTTCCGACCCGCTTTTACAATAGGGTTGGAATTATCATTATTATATGTTTGACAGTATCGATTTGCAAGTTCGATAAAGGAACAAAGACAATCAATCGGCAGCTCCCGCCCCCGTTTGGCTGTCTTCCGCCGAGGACCAATTCCGGCCCATGAGAAAAAAAAAAGAAGCTATTCAACAACTAGCTGTTCCCTGCAGATCTATATTGCCGCGAAGTTCTTACCACGTCTTTACGATCGAATTTTCTATCCCTTTTTCATCGCGAGCTCAACCCATACCTTGAATCTCTAGTTGACAGAAAACGAAACTTAAAAGGAGGAAAGAGGAAGAAAAAGAAATCAAACGAAACAAAATCTACCAATCAAATCGCAGAAAAGGGGGTTTTCTTTTTTCATTTTCATTTTCATTTCTTTTCTTTTAAAAAGAGAGAGAGAGAGAGAGAGAGAGAGAGAGGGAGAGAGACATTTAACAATTAAGTGTTGGGGATACAGAAACTTTTCCCCATTGACACCAATAGATCAAAGGACAAACTCGCAATGACTCTCGGAAGGAAAGCGGAGACCCTCTGAGTGTTGATCAACGCCTTCTTGGCCCAGACACCGTGATAACCATCCAGCCTTCCTACGTTCACCTGTCGTCCACGAGCGACCATCAGCCGACATATTTTACGCCGCTGTCTATCGGCACGCCATTCCACTCTCCGCAAAAATAGTCGCGATCTTGTTTCACGTCTCGCTGCTGCGGCCCTTGGCCGGGCCCCTCTTCCCCTGTTCCGCCTCGCGAGATGAGCGGTCTCGCCGATCCGCCGTCTAGAAATACCGTAGTCTCTGGCGCTACAGATGCGCCAGGCAGGACACGAAAGCTCCCCCTTCTCTCTTCATCCGTTCCATCTTCCGGTCAACCGATGGGTGATCCCATGGATGTCACTCCGCCTGCTTCAGCAGCGGCAACGGGAGCTGGGCCTTCGGTTCACAACAATTCCGACCATGATCGAGCGGGCGCAAATAATATAACCACTTCCAATGGTTCTACTGAACCTGCACATGTGCACAATCATGCAGCGCCTAGCCAAGCCATCGGAGCTGCAGCTGCAGCCCAGCAGCCCAAGGTCGTGCAAACTGCCTTTATTCATAAGTTGTATAAGTACGTCCCCTCGCAAAATGTGACATTTTGATTGCCCCAAATATATTATTAGAGATGCTCTCAAGTGAGTCCGTGCTGATAGTACCTGACAGTATGCTAGAGGACCCAAGTATCCAACATCTAATTTCATGGTCCAACACTAACGACAGCTTCGTCATGTCACCTACTTCTGAATTTTCCAGAGTCCTTTCGTTCGTCCTTCGCTCGTGCCAGACCCCTACACCAGTTCACTTATAGCTAATTAACCACTAGTCAATACTTCAAACATACCAATATCTCGTCGTTCGTAAGGCAATTAAACATGTACGGCTTTCACAAAGGTATGTCTACCTGTTTGGTTAATGAGTCTTGTCCCTTGTCTGTTGCTCATATGGAGTGCCTTAGTGAGCGATGTGTTCCACACTGGATCACCAGACTCGACACTCTGGGAGTTTAAACACGGGAATGGCAATTTCAAGCGTGGTGATCTGATTGGGTTACGGGAGATCAAAAGGCGAGCGTCTCGACATGCGTTGATCCATCGCGACTCATTTCCGGGCCACAAAGCCGCTGCCTCCCAACCTGGCACACCAGCTGAACCGGTCCCTGATGCCACTGAAGCTCGCCTGATGAATCTGGAGCATACACTGTACGACATGCACAACCGCTTGAGTCGTGCTGAGGAAGGCAATGCGGCACTCAATGCAAGGTGCCTAGCCATGGCGGAGAGCTTGAGCAGGTGCTATCATGTAAGTCTCACGCCTTTTATGTCTTCACTCCGTACCTCTGAATTGAATTCATCATTGATTATTTACGCTCCCCAGTGGACACATTCAATCTCGCGCTTTCTGCAAGGTATGATTCCAGACCGGGAAGGTCTCCTGTACAGAGATGGTGAGTAGTAATACAACATACACATAAACGAATTGCCAGGACTTCAAATGGTCTTTAACAATCTCTAGTATCCAGCATGCAAGCAGAACTGGAAAAGCACCTCGACAGCGTGCGAGCCCTCGAGCATCCCCCTGATCCGTATTTATCTGTTCGACAGCCCTACGTCCCAACTGTATCGATTGATCCAGGTCCACCTCTATCTCCGCGTCAAATACCACAGGAAGACAGTCGTCGGCCTTCGGTGATGGATGCGACCAGACCTAACATGATACGGCCACCTGTTCCTTCACATCTAGCTGTATCGCCTCGTAGATATGGCTCAATTGGCGCGGCAAATTCTTCCCCACCTTATGGCCGCCCGCAGGTCCCAACAGTTATTCCCCCACAACAGCCGATGCCGCATCCTCTTTCATCCGTCTCTTCCCCGCTGGGCCCAAACTTGGCTCGTCGACATACATCCGCAGACATTCGGCAGCATGGCTGGCCGCCCCCTGGCGTGTCACCATTCCAGTCTGCTCACCAGCCTGGTACAGCAACAGCTCCCTGGTCTCCGTCACCGCATCGAACCCCAACTTCAAGTGACCAGCAGGTTCGAGAAGTTCTAGCACAGTATGAGATGGGAGCACCACGACGTCTACAGGATACCTCGCGTCACGCTACTCCTCCTTTGAATACCGACCAAACAAACTCCGGAGCTACCACTGATAATAGTTGGACATTGGGACCGAGGTTCGCTCGGCATGACACCTCTTTACCTGCAACACGACGGTCAAGCATGGCTAGCAATGTTCATTCGTTGCTAAATCCGGCTGATACCGCTGAAAGACCCGACGAGGATCAGCATACCACGCTCGAGGATCGAAAAAGAAAGCGTCTGGAGTAGATGAACATTGGTGTACCTACTTGAGTGGTGCTCTTCGCGCTAAACGATGCGTCTATTAGAGTCTCTGACATTCGGCGAAAATAACACTAAGGATCAACTACTGGCTCAGCTTCGACCTTCCCGTTTGGCGTGCATTCCGGAAACAAAGAGACAAGCGAAAAGCTAAACTTGCAATGCTGCATATCCTGGGATTTTCGTCGTATTATCTGGATTCTTCTAATTGTCTAAAACTTGGTGAACTGACAATCACACAATTCTTTGGCGATCTGACTTCTTTTGGGACTGCGGACGTCCCAACCATTCTTACTCAAACTTAGGGTGGCGCTTATTACTCTTCCGCCAGCATAGATATCTGTGTAACATCAAGGGTGGATGTTAGCATGTGACATACTATGGCTGCGTTGCTGACGCCAGCATCCTAGGCTTCATTTGCCGTATATCACACACCCTCGAGTTGGTAGGGCCAAAAAGTTCTTGGATATTCTTTAGAACCGAGAATGCATGTTGATATCTAGGTGCTCATACTCGAGTGTATACGTAGATCTAACAGTGGGACCGGCCCTTCCAGATCAGGGAAATAAGCTATGTGAGGTTACAAGTATGTATATAATTCTATTATTGTATATTGTATATGTATCGTCAAAGTATTTCAAGCAGATATACGGGGTATATTGAAATCCAGTCCTCGACCATGAGAGCCTGAGAAGGAGACGAGTTTATTTCTTCTTCCTCTTCCTTGACCGCTCAGCAAGAATCTCATCTAAGAAACTTGTAGCTTTCCTCCTGCCTTTCAGTCGAGATGGCTGTTGTGATAAAGACTCCCCTTGCTTCACCGATGTCTCATCCTCGCCATCTCCACCGTGATCAACCCGATCCCCACGATCGTCGTTGTCAGTGACGATGGGGTCGAGAGTCCTCGGGCTAGACTCCGCTTTTCTTTTCTTGGTCGGACCCTTCTTCCCGACTAAGGCCGTTCGTCCTTCATCATCATCGTCGTCATCAGCTTTGCCCGCTATAATCTGGGACTGATTCGTAGCAGAGCTAGCACCTGGTGAGCCCCCCATGCTGCTCGGCTGTCGACCCGCCGCTGCATTCCTCTCGGACATAATTTTCTTGTAATTCTTCCCAAGAAGTTGTCTCCGCAGTTTATCGTTGGAGTCAAGTTCAGTGCGATTCCAACTTCCATCTGCTGCTCTGGAGGGAAGGGGTGCGCCAACACCTAAACTGTAGCCATCATTCAATCAGCGCTAGTCATATATTACGTAGGGAAAAAAAGGGGGGAGGGGGAGATAATTAAATAATTAAATAAATGAATAAGAATGGGGGGTGGGGGAGAGGGAATATTATTCTCCAAAGCATGACATAGAGTAAGACCTACGTTTCCGGCACAGCTGTGAAAACCTCATCCTCATCTCGCTGTAACTCCTCCTCAGACTTTGTATTGGCTTGTTCTTCTTGAGTCTTCGGGGGTAGCCATGAGGCGACAAGTCGCTGGCTGCGTGCTAACGCAACGTTGGCTTTGTTCAATATGACATCTGTTTCTGTCTTGGATAAAGACATGGTGTCGGTTATCCCGCCTCGCCCTTGCTCTTCTTTCTTTTTGGTCCTATCTACAGAGTACACCCAACTTTTCTTGCGATAGCGAGGCGGAAGGACGCGGCATAACGCCCACCGCTTACTCTGTTCAACTCGTGGGGTTACTTGTATGTATGTCTTGGCGCCTAATGACAATTGAAGCTCTGCCTATACGGTCAACTCAGTGGGTTCCTAGTACTATAGTCCTTGTATATGTACACTTTATTATGGTATGTAGACTTTGATTACAAGAAAATTAACTAAAGTCACAAAAACGAGCGCAAATAGGCCATAATAATTGTCGTGACAGACATTCACATTATGCCCATTGTGTCGCTGTATTGACGCGCTTGGAATACACAGGATCGTTATCCCTATCAAGGATATCTATCAGGGTTTCAGATATCATATTGAAGAGTATGTCGTGTGACCTGGTAGACTTAGGGTCTTTGGTGGGCTGGTAGTTTTCTAGAGAGCCTAAGGAATGGAAAGCTGCACCGAATGCCTAGTGATCAGGTGTTAGTTGATGTCCCCAAACACTACATACGGGATATAATGGCTGGTGTACCATTTGTATTGTCTTTCGAAGTTCAATCAATAATCTGGCTGCACGATCGCCTCCCGTCCCTTCATTGGCTTGGACTAAGAAGTCCAGCCATGAGTCCATGCATATTCTGCGCCCACTTCCTTGCAGTCGCCCTCCCAGGAGGCAAGCGGCGAGCGGCGTGACATGTGAAGTTTGCTTTAGAAAATACGTTTCCCCCGAAGAAGGCTTGTTCTTCGAATTGAAGATGAACAGGCTCCTTGGTCGCTCCGTGGAATTGACAGAAGAGGGTGACATGTGTGTCATCTCATCTGTCTCAGTAAAGTAACGCCTGCGCGAAGCTGACGAAGGAGCTGCAAGATTGGGATACATGACATGAAAGATCAGAGCTTTAATAAGTGGGGTACGCCATGAATTGGTATTCAAGCTGGCACCTCCAAACTGGAAGTGCTCATCCAGGTGTTCATGGCAGGAAATAATCCTTTTCTTAGCTAGGATCTCAAGCATATGACGGGCAACCTGTAGCACTTCATAGACGCGATCAAAGTGTATATGGTTCGATACTGCAAACTCAAATGCGGCTGCACGTCCCGTTCGATACCAGACCTCACGGGTTGCCCTGAATGCGTTGGCCATGCTAAGGTGATCGCTCCAGGTATTTCGTGAAAATTCTACACGAGCCCTGTGCGCATCCTTACGTGTCTCCTGGTCTGCTGATGAGTAGAACAAAGATTGGTCGCCCCCGATTACCCCAATAATGAGAAGCGGATCAAGACAGCGAAATATAACCCCCAACAAAACCAGCTTTGCGCGGCAAGGGTCAAGTGGCAACTCTGAGAGAAGGACTCCGAGGGGGGTAAGCCCCTCTTTCTCATCCAGCGCTCTCAAGAGTTGTAGGTTACTAATTGCCAAGTCCACCTTGGCCTCGTCCGGGGGTTCAATGGAATCTCGTAAGGTGTCCTGAATAGAGGCAGACGATACTGTCCGCTTCACTTGCAAAGAAGTCTGTTGCAAGTCCTCCCGCATCATTCCGGGAAATCTGGTGATACGGAAAGAATTGTGCATATCCCTCGTAAAAAGAGCAAAGTACTCTCCTGCTTGGACTCTACCAGCCCTGCCTGCACGCTGAGCAGCGCTGGATTGACTAATCCAACAACATGCAAACCGGGTTGACCTTGAGTGTGGCTCATAAATCCTTTGATTTACCTTGCCTATATCAATGACAAACTTAACATCTGGAATAGTTATCGAAGTCTCGGCCACATCAGTAGACAAGATAACTCGGCGACAAGCCCGCGAAACTGGACTGAAAAGTTCTCTTGACCATCGGGAAGGTTTGAATGGAGCTGCAGGATCTTGTATCGACTATAATCAGAGAAGTCACAGCCTAGCATCTTTCCATGATTTCGGACGGCACTTTCAACGGCCATGATGTGACGTAAGCCTGGGAGGAAGACCAGGATAGAGCCTCCCTTTGTACTAGACAACACATAACAGATAACGGCGCATAAGAGGCCTAGGGGTATCAAAGGATCTTCTTCTCGAAATATGGATGAAGATGATTGTGGCAAAATCGAATCCTGCAAATGCTGGTCCCCATCGATCCCTTCTTTGTCAGAATTCGAGCGGTTTGTCACTGGCAGAAGGTTGTATCTTCTGAGATACTTTGCTGTCTAGAGTTCATCGATCAACAATGATAGCGCTCGCGGGGAGTAGAACCCAGACAAAGACTCGATGACTTCACCTAGGTAATGTTTGCCAACAGGGAAAGCGCGACCGGGAATACAAAGATGTGGAGCAGGCAAGCGACCTCCGTCGTCGACAGCATTCTGAAAGTATGAAGCGAAGAGGCCCACGTCTAGAGTTGCACTCATCACAATAATCTTAGGTGCATGTAACCCTAGGCCACGGCGTTGATCGACGAAGTTTCTTAGAAAAAGCATGAATAGGTCGAGGTCAAGGGCTCGTTCGTGAACTTCATCGAGTATGATGTGGGAGAAAGACACAAGGTAGGACTCAGAATGCAGCATATTCAGGAGATAACCTGTTGTGCAATACGTGATTGAGCCCAGTCTTGTGGGACGTCGAGAGTCGAATCGAATTTGATACCCTACGGAGTATCCAAGTGATTCCCTTCTTTCTTTCGCAACCCGCTTAGCTAGTGAAGTCGCTGCTATTCTGCGAGGTTGGACGCAGAGTATTTTGCATAGGCTTCCAGAGCCCTTGACCATAGCATCGTCGAGCAGCATCTGGGGCACTTGTGTTGACTTTCCGGAACCAGTATCTGCTACAATGAGAGAATACGTGTTCTTCTCAATAAGGTCAAGTATGTCATCCTTTCTTCTTCTGATCGGTAACCTTCCTTGACGCTTCCACAGTCTACCAATAGGCAAGCCCAATGAGCTATCAACTTTGTTTTGCTCATTGAAACCCTCCTGATAAGTGGAAATAGAACTTCCTATTTGCCCTCCACTGCACTTTGCCGTGGAAAAGTGGCGGGCACATTTTAGATCCCTCAAGGCCCTAAACATGACAATAAACATGTCTTCGTCTATATGGAGCTTCATGTATTGCAATTCTTCTCTTAATTCATTGAGCTCTTGCAGTGAGCCACTTGTATGGAGCCTTGAGATCAAGGCCAACAAGGCCTGCAGTTCTGCTGAAGACTAACACAAATTAGCTTAGACAGCTAATTCGAGTTATCATTTATCGTACCTTACCTTCGAGCTTCCTGTCCCGGACGTGGCTATAATTATAGATGTATGCTGAAGGGTGCAATCTACAGCGCAATCGAACTTGTCATTGTCACGGCTAACAAATCGAGAATTGAGCCTTATTAACCCTTTTTGAACAAATTCAGAATGTAGGACAGGCTTAGGAGACCGCAAGAGCACCTTTCCAAAACCGTTATAGTCTTCCTCTATGGGAAGAGCATCACTAACATACTGTGATTCGTCTACAGCACTAGCTGTATTGACGTCGGGAATTCTCTAAAGCAAACCACTGTCGTCACACGCTGACCCATTCTCAGCTACAGAGCTCCTTTCCTGGCTTCGGGATCTTGTCCTGGTCATACAGTAGGGGGCAAGAGCACCGCGAAGTCCCGGGCGTCTCAGCTCCAAGGGTGACCTCCATACCCCTGTAGCCAGGTTTCTAGTTCGAATGCTAGGTAACACTGTGGTGTAGCGACGAGTTGCGATGTTGCGAGTTTGGGAAGGTCGCGTCGGGTTTAGAGGAGCGAAATGTATTTGTGAAGGACCATCTTTAAAGCACGAAAAATGTCTGATGATCTATGACAGGGTAATAGTTAACATCGAAGGTGTGTTGCATGTATAATAAAAGGTAGAAGGCTGTACCATATAGCTTTGCATTGCCGCACGCCGGGTGAAGATGCGATACTACTACGTATTGATCGCCGCATCAAGGGGATTCATGAGATAATAGTGGCGCATATAGCCATTTTCTTGGTTTATGTGATAGAGTATATCTTTTGAGGGGGTCGGGTAAAAAGAAAGAAAAAGAAAACACAGGGTCAAGATGGACGGTTGAAATAAAGTATACTTTTATGTTTTGGGGTTATTTAAGGTGAATTATCATGGACCTGATTGGCCTTGGCGTGGCATAAATTCATTCAATCATTACTTTGCCTAGTAGGTACTGTCGCGAATATCGTGCAGGTTCGATTCTTCTAACTACACAATTAAAGCGCATATAGCCAAATACCATATTAGATTACGCTGATTCTATCATTAGCGAGTTCGTAGCGTCATTGCATGTGTGTATGTACATCTAGATCTAACCTTTCTCTCTATATATAATGGTCTCACTAAATATGAAAGAAGCGACCCCCAGCCCGAGCAATACGAGGTATGCGCTAGGGAACAAGGTCAAACAAAAGAAGAGAAAGAAAGAAAGAAAGAAATAAATAAAAACCAAAAATAATGATAAGTCAATGCTCATGATCCTTCATAGTGCTGGTGTTTTTGCCTCAGTTTCTTCTCCGTCTTCATAAACTCTCGAATCCCAACTGGGATGCTGGCAAACAGATCGTCTGCCTGATCGGGGATAGTCCACTTTGTCTCACTCCCGCCTCCATCGTCATCCATGCTAGTGCTCGCAGAAGCAACCTCCGCCCTGGGAGTGTGGAGCAAACCCCCAGTCGGCCCTTTCGAAGCGCCTTTGGCCTTAGCCTGCGCTACTCTCGCCGCCCAATCTTCCATCTCATCACGAAAATCATCCCAGACGCAATGTACACACCCACTCATGCAGCAATTGTCAGGTTCCTCTGGCCTCGGTGGTATAGCAACCCCATTTATAGTTTTCCACGTAGATTCTGATGGCGTCGCACCGGGATTATACCGTGAAGAGCGACCGGGGCCAGCAAGACGAGTGCCAAATACAATAGCCATCTTATCCTGGGGCGAGTGAGGCTCATTTTTCGAAGATGTTGACGGCTCATCATCTAGTCCTCTAGAAATAGGACGCGAGGAACTTGCTTGACGTCTGTAAGGGGAGCGAGATGAAAGAATGTCATGATAATACCCCGATAATGGATGTGCTTGAGGGGGTTCTAAATTGTTCAAGTATGCTGTCGTATCTTGGGATTTGGTATGTGCATGGCTGGCTGTTCGTCGGGTAGAGGGAAACGGTGCATATCGTCCAATAGATAGTGCTGATGCATGGAGAGAGCGCGCCTGATTTATAGGTAAAACGTGACCCATGCCTGACAAGCGGGGTGCCATTTTGAACACTGAACGCCCTTTACCCATGAAGAGAAACTCTGTAGTGCCGGAAGGTTACCAGGAAAAACGCTGGGGAGGGAAGTGCTCTTTGAGTTCCGAGGCAGACAGTATGTCATTCTGCAAACAATGCAAACATATGAATGGCGTCTCACGATGTATGCTTATCGCAAGGTCTGCAGATCGCATCCTCAGGATCAATTCTTGACAAAGACGGAATCCCCAAAGTGGTTGTGGAGGATCCACATTGGCATATAGGGTATCTATACATTTTTAGGCATCTATCATCATATCATACGGCACGAAACAAGTGTAGCGCTGCTGTTCTCAACACGTCGCCAATGGACCCGCAACCTCATGCACAGCGCCCGCCCGATCGCGCATCACATCAAGAACCAGCAAGAGAAAGCTTAGCGCGATCGCGACCGGAAAGTCCGCTGCGCGTAACCAGCAACTCATCGAAGAAGAGCTCACAAAGACCTATGAACGAAGCTGAAACGAGTGCTTTTGGGTTACGCGATAGAAAAGCCCTTAGACCCTCGCTGGTTTCAGATGCAAGCCTAAGGCTGGACAGAAGCTCGCCAAGTAGGCGATTAAGCGGTCTTCAAGCGTTCGCAGCACCTCCGAGGCGAGTATCGAGGAGAATTCTTCCTTCAGACCTGTCATTCAAGACTCCAATAGTGACCCGGGGAAATAAGTTGGATCGTGGACTACCCGATAGCCCAGACGACCAGTTAGCGTCTGAGTTGAGTAACGCAACAGATGAAGCCAATTCACATACAGACTTGCATGAAGGGCTTGAAGAACCTGATCTACCCCCAACCCCAACACAGTTAGGCCTAGAAAGACCCCCTGCACGGGCAAAAGGACTACTAAGCAGCAGCCCGACTATGCAGCATGGTAGCTGGGGGAAACGACGAACCGCTGACTATCTAGAACGGAGCCCCTCTAAGCTTAGGAACGTTCAGTATGGAGAGGGCGACGAAGATCTACTGGTGTCAAACTCAAATATGGCCCAAGGACTATTTCCGGAGCCTGTTTTGGAAAAACGGCGATTGACAACGCAACTTGCCACCGAGATAAAGCAACTTCGCGATGACATCGTTGAATTGGAGAATTGGACGAGGAGCTCAAGATACAATGTCGATGATACAGAACTAGATATGGGCAAACTTGTGTAAGTATATTATGTCCAGTCATTTGAAAATTGACCTGACTAGTGAATAGGTCAATATTGTGTGAAGATCCCATCAAGGCAATGCCCGCAAAGACGAACCCATATGATATGTCTATATCTTCTTTCATTTCGACGTTGCTTCCATTTTCTACGAAGTGTTCTCCAATAACGTCAGAAGAGCATCCTCCGCCGAATCCGTTTGCTCTTGATAAACTTTCTCAAGCTGAACCATATCTAACAATATTCGCGCCATTGAAACTCAAAGCATATTCAAATACTTACTGCGGTTCGGATCCAGACATGCATTTGGAAAAACATATCCTAGAACTGTCTGCCCCGTGGCCCTTTCCTTCTAGACAACTCCAATTATCCATCCACTACGAAACGGATCCAGAAACACAGTCTATACTCTCTATATCGGTACCGGTGGACATTGAAAACAAAGTACCGATATATTTGCGCCAGTGGGTCGAATTAAGGCTAGCGAACCCCCTCTTGAAGTTGGATTTATCGGGTCTATGCTGGGGCATAAATCGGTACTGGGAAGCTTTAATATCACGTGCCCAGTTATGGTCGCGGCTAGAAGGCCAATATCAAGGACTGATCAGAAGTCGTGGGACAACCAGGGATACTGATAAGCTAGACGACTTCCAAAACCCCGATATGCGCTCTCTCTCGAACATGAGTCTACGCAAAATACTACCACACCTTGAGCGTACATCGATGCTATTCGAATCCAAAGGTGGAGAGTCTCTTCGAGCCTACTTTTCTTGCGAACTAACAATCGATGAATGGGCCTGTGAACCCAGGTTGGTACCGGGAGTCAGTGTGTCTGCGCCGCCCATGATGAATGGCAGGTCGGGAAGCAAGGTGGAACAAGATGTCAAAAGACTATTTCACACAATTTTGAGCGAGAAACAGAGCGGACGAATAGGCGCAGACCTTGATATCAATACAGATGCCATAGTACATGCTGCCGAGCATATTTTGGGTGCCTTGTTCTATGATGAGCCTGAAAAACATGTTTTCAAAGTAAAGGCAAAAAGGTGACTACATTATGTCTCTGAAATTGGCTTGAATTGGTTTTTGAATCAACCAGCTGATCTGACAACTGGTTGATCCTTAAAACGATAGCGTCTGGCCCTCTGTAAATCAGCGGATGGATCGCGTCTTGAACACATTTTTAGCTTCTACCGAGCCCGGGAACTCAAAGTGACTGAAATTAGAGGTTTACGCAGGTTGTAATCCAGTGTACATATATTCATCTCCGCCATTGAACTAGCCTACTGGTGCCTGCATCAGGTTACCCTTTCATAGTATCTTGCGTGCTCTCTGCCTCCAAACGAGGACTAGGCCACCGGTGCAATTGAACGAAGAACCGCGAAGGATGTCGTTCGATACGAACCCAGCGACCAGACTCTGATGGACCAAGATGCAGCTTCATAGCATACATTCCTAACTCGGAGTGGGCCCTTCTTTGAAACGTGAAAATTTGGGCATTTGCATTTCGGAAGGTTCGGAGCTTTTTAAGGACAAAGGTAAATTGAGAAAAGGGGCGCCACGCCATGCCACAGTACACTAATCCCCGACTTGAAAATAGACCCGATCATCATTAACTGTGAATCACATTTATTTCTTGGCGGCGGATTCCTCCTCGGCCTTAGCCCTAGCACGCTTCTCCCGGATACCCTTGTGGCGGGCCTCACTGCGGGCCTCACGCAAGCGGCGGTAGGCAGCCTCCTCACCCTTGGGCAGGTCATCACGCTTGACCTCAGTGACAGCTTCCTCAGCAGCGAGGTTCTTGATGGGAAGGGTAGCATTGGCGCGAGTGGCATAGCCCTCAGTCTTGCCCTCAGCGGCGAAGGCAGCCTTGGCAGCGCTGACCTCTTCAGCAGAAGAGTCAAGCTTCTTGAACTGACCACTCTTGCGGGGGAAGAGGATCAAGCGGGCCTTGTAGTCCTTGAGGCGATCAACATTGGCGACCAGCGACTCCTTGGAGTAGTTGACACGGCGGTGGTCAACAGCAATACCGATAGTAGAAGCGAGCTTCTTGGGGATTCCGGCTTCCTATATGGTTTTCAAGCAAGTCCCGTGTAAGCCTCCATCCAACTTCGAAACCCAGCCAGTAGAACAGCACCATCACCAGGGCCCCGCTCTATATCCAGCAAAGGGGACAAATTTACCTTCAGCTCAGCGAGAGTGAATCCACGACCGGCACGGACACGGCGGTTGTACTTGACGGTAGGGCAACGCACAACGGGACGCAGCTTGTCAACCGGACGAGGAGCAACAGCGGCGGCCTTTGCAAGACGGGCCTCACGACGGCGGTGCTTGCGGCCAGGCTATAAAATGGGAAGAGGTTAGTCAAACCACAGACAATCCTCCAAACGATCAAAACATGTCGTTCATAATGTGATTCATGGAAGTAATAATTTCGATTGCGTACCTGGTCGAAGTGCACGCGCACACGACGCTGCCAGTCCTTGCGGAAGTCTATAATGAACTCGTCAGTTCGTTGTCCCACAGAACAGAAAATTCCATCCTCGATCATCAAATGCCGAAAACTCGTTCACTCGGGTTCACTCACGCTGGTTGAGAATCTGGTTGTTGTGCTTGATCGCCTATATCACCAAAATTCATCAGTAACTTGCTCTCACCCACGAAAATACCGAACTCGATTTGTTGAATCGCAGAACGACTGAAAACAGCGAGGGGTCAGATAAACGCACCATTGTGACGGACGGTGATCAAGGCCGGGATTGTCGTCGTCGTCGTGGGTGGTTGCTGGTCAGATCTCAAAACGACTCTTCAATAATGGGTGGAACTTTTTTTGGTGTGGCCAACCGCGCAGAGCCGCGCCGGTCTCGCTTAGCGAAAAGCCCTACCCTGGTTACCAAATCTGGAAAGGGTCCCAGACCTGGCAGGCTTGTCACTTGATACCTCACTTCACCATTAGCAGCACTCAGGTTGTATTTGAATATACACAGGACTCTTAAGTAGTTATCCAAATGATCTACTGTCCACATAAGTGCTTTGGCTTCAACTAGATGCCGGGATCCTCTTTAAACATGTAATCAAGTCAATCTTCATGAATGAACGAACATTTACAGTTCCCGTTAATGCTTACTAAGTCGGTATCTGTGTCTTTGGCATGCACCAGTAGTATTCCATATTCGCTTTCTACCTACTAAAAAAGGCCTGAAAAACACAAAGAAGGGAAAGGAGAAAAAGAAAGAACAAAGACCTGACGAGCAAGGGAAGGGGTAACGGATGAATGTGTTCTTCTAGTTGTTTCGCATTGAGAGTGCTATTGATTGGGGGTAGAACTAAATCTTATCTATCGCTAGGTACCTAGCTTGAGATCTTCTGAAAGAGTACAAAGCCTACTAATCAATACGAATCGTAGAATCGTTCTGGACTTCAATATACTGAAGATTCAACAATGAAACCAAGAGAAATGAAATAGACGAAAAATGCGCCATAGTAACACCGATCCACCCCATCATCTACATATCATTATTCGTAACTGTCCCTGAGGGGAGGGCAAACAGGACAATTAAAAACGTCTAGATAAGAAAAGGATGCCCCAAACCAAGAAGATCCGCAATCCGACCGCAGCTTGCCAACTTATGTGCAATCAGGAAATACAGCCAGATGCACATGTAGACTTTATGGACGGCTGTTATTGTTCCATGTGTCAATACCGAGACCCACTCGTTCCTCCGCTTTCGATTTCTTCGAGGCCACACTATTAAAACTCGCCTTGCGTTTGAGACTGCCGGAGGGACGCTCAACTCCTGATTTTCTAATCTGACCGAAGAGTGTTGTTTGAAGTAAAGTGCTCGATTTAGGGGCGTTTGCCACTCTCGTAACATTCTGATGGTCTGAACGGCTATGGCGAAAAATATTTGTTGACACTAAATCGGCGTGGGAAGGAGCGTCGTCTTCACTTTCGGCTTCCTCGGTGTCGGATGCTGATATAGTGCTGTCTCTATCCCGACGCTGGTGTTGAGAATTTTTGTTTGGAGTGAAGTACTGACTCTCTTGCTGAGCTACCCTAGACCGAGACGGCGTCATAGGAAGAGAAGGCAGTGGATGCGCACCACGCACATTGTGACTGTCAATCTGTTGCTGTGTGGCATTCTGGTTTGATGTGGACATTGCACTTGGAGACTCTCTGTTTAGAACACGGTCCGCCGCCAGAAGAGCAGCGAAAGGGTTATGGTTATCATCGCTGGTCATATGGTGGCTATTATCGGCAAAGTGAGGGATAGACTTTCTAAGAGGAGTCTGGATCTCGGTTTGTGGACTGGGAGACAATGAACCATGCTCAATCATCAAGGAAAGATGCTTTCGGTTATCCCTGATACGGCCTTTCAACAAAGAATTTTCTTCCCCGAGTCTATCAGCCTTCACTTTCTCCTGGTCGATAAGTTTCTTCGCTCGACGAAGCCGCCGGTCAAGTGTAGCATTGACCCTCTCCAGTTCTTGGTTACGTTTGAGAGCAAGTTCTAATTCCACATTGGCAATTTGTTGTAGCGGTTTAGTTTCTGAATGACGACGGCGATATTCAGAGCTCTGGAGAATCTCGACTTCTCTTCTAGCCAATTTATGTTCAACTTCGGCGCGCTTGATGGCTTCATTGCTTGTGAATGATAGTAGACTATTCTGCAACTTAAAGTGCAGCGCTGACATACGAGCTTCTTGAGCCACGCCCAGTAGCTCCTTAGCGATCGCACGAAGTTTGGCTTCGTCAGCAGTATCAATTTCTTCAGCAGCGGGGAGGTTCTCGGAAGCCCCATAAGCGACACACAGGGTCTTCTCAATATCAGGCGGAGATGCAAGGTATGAACTAGATCGAGACCTTGATTGTCGAAGAGGGGCTCCAGGGATCTGCGATGATGGAGGAGGAGTCATATCTGATGATGGTAGTGACGGAGGTGAAAAGAACTTTCCTCTATCAGAGCGCGATGTGTGGCTTTCGGCTCTTACACTTATATCCGGAGAAACAGAGAGACTTGTACGCCGACTGGGATTAACCGGGCCAGAGATCTCTGCCGGAGGCGCTAAAGAACACTGTGAGAGCTGAAGCTTGGGGTCTCGTGGCATGATAGGAACAACGGCAAGATAAGTCAAGTAAAACCGTCGGGATATATCCTCGCACTGCTTCTTTCTTAGCAATGGCCGGGTTGATAAATCGCACGGGATCCCTGTAGGGCGATCAAGCGCATACCGGGAATGAGGTAGTGTATTCCGTGTGTACGTCAATTAAACTGATCGAGGGAATACTTGTTTCCAGCTCGGCTGATACGGGCCTTGTAAATAATAATCGAAGCTAAAGTTTTCGGGAAATTGGGTGTAGATGTGTTTGTCGCACAGACACTATGCGACTCCCACCTCGCTCGGTCCGCTTATCAGTGATAGGGCTGTGCAGACACGTCCAAGTCAAGGAGGATACGAATTCTTTGAGAAAGGCGCCCAGTTTGGAAGAACAGCAATGCAAGATATGGGAGTCTCTGTACCGATATGACAGGAGTAAGGAGCTAGACAGAATGTGAATAAAGCAACGGGTAGATGTGATGCAAGGAGCAAGGAGCACCGTGGAGGGTTTGATGCCTTAAGGATGTTGCAAGCGGCGGGTGTCTCGCACATCGGGAGGCTGGGAGGTCGCTTGCGATGGCTCTGCTCCAACCAATTATTTTCGATGCTCTGCATCCACGTGAGCCCAGCCGCGCGCTAAGATATACCATTCCAGATGAAGTTAGCGTGGAGATCATGCACTCCAGGGAAGTAAACAGAAGTTGTACCCCATGGGTCCAGAAGGTTGTAACTGAGGCAACGGGCTGCCGATGGACCATCATCAGTGACTCGGGCCTGGACTACTTTGCGATTGTATAAGCTACTGTAGGCAAGCAGATGGCCTGTGTCTAATATTCAAGATGTTGCGAAACCTGATCAACACACACGTACTACTATTTTATTATGTATATAGTGACCTACGCTCTGCTCTATCCACTCGTTATGGGTTTTCGTGAGCTTATGCAAAGATTATAATTAAGTACTCCAGGCCATTTTCCCCCGCAAACATAACAAGACCAAGCTTAGCGTTTCAGACGACCGTTTGTCTAACACACACACACACACACATACAGAGAGAGAGAGAGAGAGAGAGAGAGGAAAAAGAAGCGAGAAGATTTACCCTTCTCTTCTTCCCCCCTTCTCTTGATTCGTGTGAAGACCAATCAATTCATGGTGGGCTCGGTGCTTGTCTCAGGAAGTATATCAGATTGTGGGTTGATATGTATGAGAAGGCAGTGCTCATAGAATGAGAAATTACACTTGCTGCCAGTCAACCGTATTAGCGAGGCTTCAGGCCACTGTAATAGTCGTAGGATGGAGCAGTCTTTCTGTGAGGTTGACATTCGTCCGTCTATGTGGCAGTGGTAAGGAGCACTTTGTACACAGTATATGGCCGTCATAAACGGCTGTCTATGGCTCGGCTGTATCATACTCCATAGATTTTGTTTGACCAAAGCCCAATGTACTCCATAGACGCAACCCGTCAGAAAACACGGTACCCTGTGCAAAGCCCACGTTCTACTATGTACGTAACCATAAGTAGGCGAATGAACCCGACTGTGGTAAGAAGTATTGGTAAATTGGTGCTCTGTACTCTGTACACTGAGTCCGTTAGTATACTGTGGAAGGTCTGCAAACAGTCAGTAGTGGTGGTTTGTTTTCGCTCCGTAAAGGCATGCAAACATCTTGCCTCAAGTTGCACCTCTGGTACTCGTGTCCATAGTGAAATAGGGCCCTACAGGCTTAATTCGGTCCATGATGGTTCCGTCGGCGGGATGCCGAAGGAGAATCTCACCAATCACATAAATGACTTGGCTAGTTTATATGGATCGTGGCCCCAGGCACCAACTACTTCGTAAACAATGGCTATAATTTGAATCATATAATCTATCACATAATTGATAGGAGTTACCTTGAAAAAGACACGTTGCGCTGAGTATTACTTTGTGTTCTGTCCACTTAACGTTTTCACCTCAGCCCATTACACCCTACTAGCATTGTGTCAGCTGAGAATTTCTGCTGTCCTGTGTTTTCCCCTAACCCACACAAAAACCATCATGAGACTCATTTTCCGCTCTTGAAACCATTACACCATCCAATAGCAGAAACTTGCTTCATGCTTATAGACAACCTAAGCCGACTACGTTTTATGTGATGTGAATATGGATAAGCAACAGAAATTATCGGCCCGACCGAGTGGGATTCCTCGATTAGCCTCCAGGCTACCGCTCCCGACGTCTACCGCTTCGAAATCGATTAAGCCCTCCCCATCTCGCGAAAAGCTACGGACAGATACTGGCATCGATGCAGCTAGGCTTCGAAGGCCTTCAGAGGAACCATTGTTTAAAAAGCCGCTACCTAAATACTCGGTGCCAAAAAAACCTCAGAATGGCCAACCACAAAAGAGGGATGTCTCTCAGACTAGAATGAGCGATGGCGGAAAGTCGGAAACAGATAGTGCAATGGTTAGATCTTTCAGGCATGGGTCTGATATATCAGTTGACGATGCAGATACTCGAGGTCGTGCGCGGCCTTCACTGTCAGAACGAACAATTGAGACGTTGTCCCAAATCCCTCCTTCACCGGGTTCTTCAAGGCACTCTAGTTTCTTTAATGGGACCAGCCCCATGCGCTCTCCATCCCGTCCGCCGTCAGCGCTGTCAAGTTGCTCGAGATCACCTTCTAGGTCATCGTCATCGCGTCAACAAACCGGCGGGGACTTCTTGTCTCGCCCATCGTCTGCAATGCGGCTCCCTTCAAGGTCACGCCAGTCACTGTATGTGGGCGGCACACCGGCCGAGCTAAACGATGGGACGGCCCCGGATAGCGTTTCAAAATTGAAGCTGCTTACTTCAAGGACAAGCACTTGTAGAGATACGACGCATACC